AGTACTTACGCATGTGCATGGTGCTAACGGTTTGTGCGTTACTTACCCATGTGGATGGTACTAGAAGTGTGTTATTTTCCCATGTAGATGGTGCTAAGAGTAAGTGCGTTACTTACCCATATGGATTGTGCTAGGAGTTAATTGCATTAGTTACCCATATAGATGGCGCTATGTGTGGATGGTACTAAGAGTAAGTGCGTTACCAATCTATGTGAAGGGGACTAAAAGTACATTCGTTATTTGCCATGTGGATGGTGCTAAGAGAAAGTGCATTTCTTACCCATGTGTATGGTAGTAAGAGTAAGTGCGTTACTTACCTTTGTGGATGGTACTAAGAATCTGTGCATTACCTAATTATGTGGATGGTACTAAGAGTAAGTGCATTACTTACCCATGTGGATGGTACTATGTGTAAATGTATTACTTACCCATGTGGATGTCAACGGGAGTTGTGTTTGGCCCCGTCCTCGCTTGGGCGGAGACGATCACGTGGTCGGGTGCGCAGGAGACGTAGCCGACCTGTAGCAGTGGGCACGGGGGCCACTGCATGGGCGCCGAGCAGGTGGACGCCGTCCTTAGTGTCTGGGCGGCGTCCTGAGCATCTGCACGGCGTCTCGGGAGGTGGGACGCCGACCTGGGCGTCTGCTCGGCGTCCTGTGCGCCTGGACGCCGACCGGGGCGTCTGCTGGGCGTCCTGGGCCGACCTGGGCGTCTGCTCGGCGTCCGGGGAGGCTGGACGCCGACCTGAGCGCTTGCTCGGCGTCCCGGGCGTCTGGACGCCGACTGGGGAGCCTGGACGACGTCCTGGGCGAGAGGACGCCGACCAGGACGCTAGGACGCCGACCTGGGGACGCCGGGCTTGGTGTAGCCGGCGTCCGACTGGGCTGGACGACCAGGCAGGGTTGCCCGGTCGACCGGGATACCCGGGCGACGATCACGAAGGTCGCCGGGGATAGTTGTTTTTGGCGAGGACGACCTCGGTGGTGGTATCCCGAGGTCGATGTGGCTGATGGGCGCCGTCACGAACGGGAATGTCTGCACTGGGGACGTGACGGGGAATGGGACGCCAACCAGCCGTGCACACCTGCGAAGCAGGAGCACCGGTGTCCTGCGAGTGCAACGCTGTGCAGCCGACTTGCTGCAGCGCTGGCACACCGTGGACATGCAACGTTGGCGCGCCGCATCTCTGCAGCGCTGGAGCGGTGCGAGCATTGCTGCGCTGGAACGCGGTCGACCGTGCTGCGCTGGAGGTCGACCAGCAGCTGTGCTAGCTCTGATGTAGTGATGCATGCCAATGTTGTTGCGATCATTGTTGTCAATCTTTGCTAGTGAAACTCTTGCAAAATTTCCCCGTGAATGTGCAAGCAGAGAACACACCAGCAGACGACTAAGTGAACGAACGCAGAGATCCCTCTCACACAACGTGCCTTCCCCGTAGTAAAGCTCCCGTTGCTAGAGTTATCTCCGCAGTGGATGGTACTAAGACTAATCCATGTGCATGGCACTAATAGTAAGTGCGTTACTTACTCATGTGCATGGATGTTATTTACCCATGTGGATGGTGCTAAGAGTAAGTGCATTACTTACCCATATGGATGGTACTAAGCATAAGAACGTTACTTACCTATGTGGATGATGCTAACAGTTTGTGCGTTACTTAACCATATGGATAGTACTATGATTAAGTGCATTACTTACCCATGTGGATGGTACTAAGAGTAAGTGCGTTACTTACCCATGTGCATGGTGGTAAGAGTAAGCGCATTACTTACCCATATGGTTGGCGCTAATGGTAACTGCATTACTTACATATGTGGATGGTGCAAAGAATTTGTAAATTTCTTAACCACGTGGATGGTACTAAAAGTAAGTGCGTTACTTACCCACATGGATGGTATTATGAGTAATTGTGTTACTTACCCATGTGGATGGCACTAAGAGTAGGTACGTTTCTTAACCATGTCGATGGCTGGTACTAAGAGTAAGTGCGTTTCTTACCAAGGGAAAGATGGTACAAAATACAAGAGCGTTACTTACCCATGTGCACGGTGTTAAAAGTATGTGTGTTACTTACCCATGTGCATGGTGCTATAAGTAAGTGTGTTATTTACCCATGTGGATGGTGCTAAGAGTAAGTGCATTACTTACCTATATGGATGGCGCTAAGAGTAAGTGCGTATTTTACCCATGTGGATAGTACTATATGTGCGTTACTTACCCGTGTGGATAGTACCAAGAGTAAGTGCGTTACTTACCCATGTGGATGGTGCTAACAATTTGTGTGTTACTCAACCATTTGGATGGTACTAAGAGTAAGTACGTTACTTACCTATGTGGATGGTTCTAATAGTAAGTGCGTTGCTTACCCATGTGGATGGTGCTATAAGTGCTTTATTTATCCATGTGGTCGGTACTATAAGTGCGTTATTTATCCATTTGGATGGTACTATGAGTAAGTGCGTTACTTACCCATGTGGATGGCACTAAGAGTAAGTGCGTTTCTTACCCATGTGGATGGTACTAAGAGTAAGTGCGTTTCTTACCCATATGGAAGAGTAAGTCCGTTAATTATTCATGTGCATGGTGCTAAGAGTATGTGCATCACTTAACCGTGTGGATGCTACTATAAGTAAGTGTGTTTTTTAAGCATGTGGATGATGCTAAGATAAGTGTATTTCTTACCCGTGTGGATGGTACTATAAGTGCATCCATTTGGATGGTACTAAGAGTAAGTGCGTTACTTACCCATGTGGATGGAACTAAGATAAGTGCGTTTCTTATCTATGTAGATGTCAACGGGAGTTGTGTGTTGGCCCCGTCCTCGTTCGGGCGGAGCCGACGTCGTGGTCAGGTGTAGGGATGCAGCCGACCTGAAACAGTGGGCGAGCTGGTCGACGGGGTTGGTCGACCTGCACGGGGAGCCACTGCATGGGCGCCGACTTCGGGAGGGCGCCAACTTCGGGTGGTCGACTTGGGAAGTCGACCTGCGGAGGGCGTCGACTTGGTGACGCCAACTTGGGGGCAGCCGCCTTGGGTAGTCGGCTGACAGAACTGCTGGTCGACCTGGTTGGCCGACCAGATCTTTTGGTCGACTTGGTTGGTCGACCAGGCCTGCTGGTCGACTTGGTGGTTGGTCGACCAGGCGTGAGGTCGACCTGGTGGTCGACCGAACATGGTGGTCGACGAAGGAGGGGCCGACGTCGACCTCGACGGAGGGACTCAGGACGCCGAACAGCTGGGCGTCGAGTAGCAGGGCGTCAAGATCGTGACGCCGACTTCGGGTAGCCGACTTCGGGGTCGGCTAACAACTGTGCTGGTCGACGATGAGCTGGTCGACCAGAGGTGTGGTCAACCTGGGGAGGTCGACTTGAAGGGGCCGTCGACCTGGGTGGTCGACGGGCACACATGGGAGCAGCTGGTCGACGTGGTTGCTCGGTCGACCAGGTACCTAGGTGACGAGGGTCTGCGAAGGCACGCGAAGGTCACCCATCGCGAGGACGACCTCGGTGGTGGTATCCCGAGGTCGACCTGGCAGATCAGATGCAGTCGTCAGCACGAAGTTGACTTGGTGTGTGCGCTGTGCAGGTGACGGGGCACTGCACGCCAATCATCTGCGCGCACCTGCGAAGCGGGTGCGATGCTGTACTGCGGGAGCAATGCTGGCACGCCGTCGACTTGCGCTGTTGTCACGCCGTCGACCTGCAGCGTTGGCAAGTCACGCCTCTGCACTGCTGGAGCGCGTCGACCAAGTCGTGCTGGCGTGCAGTCGACCATGCTGCGCTGGCAGTCGACCTGCTTGCATCCTAGCTCTGATGTAGTCTTGTCTTGCCAACTTCATTGTATCATTGTTGTCAACTTTCTCTAGTGAAACTCTTGCCAAATTGCCCCGTGAACTAGCAAGCAGTGTGTGCACTAGAGATCACACGAGCACCCGTGCCTAGCCCGTAGTCTAGCTCCCGTTGCTAAAGTTATCTCCGCATGGTGCAGTGAGCGTGGACGGCACCCGACTTACCTTTCAGTCTAGTCGACTTAGTTGCACCTTACCTAAGTTCTTCATAGGCCGGCAGCCTTGCGGTAGTCACCATAGTAGGCACCGTAGGTGACACGGGGGTGGTGGGCACCATGGAGGCACGGCTGGAGAACGCGAGGAGACGCCATGAGGCTAACGAGTATGGCGACCTGCCTTGGGCGGTCGTCGAGGCTGGCATCCGTTCCATGTGGGCGACGGAGCATCCTTCTCGGCCTGCATCTCCTCGACCGGTGAACATCGAGGTCGCCGTCGACGTGGGCGTCAACGCCGGTGGTGACCAAGTCGGCAGCAGTGCGGGAGGCACGTCGTCGAGGCAGCGTGGTGTGATTCACGCCGATGAAGTCGGCGGCGTTCAGGCGCGAGGGATGCAGTCGTCGGCGGCTGCAGGCTCCTCGAAGGGTGACATCGGAGCGTCGACGAAGTGGATCTGTGCCGATGTCGGCGACCCAGGTGACAGCAGGCGGGATTGCACCGAGCTACGGCTACTTCAAGTTTACGCCGGATAGGATCTTGGTCACTCCCCTGCTGGTCGGTCGACCCGACATTCTCACCTGGAAGGAAGCCATCGAGCCCAGCTGGAGATGGCCGGGCTCGCGGTACCGTGGCGACGCCGGATGACCCCGACTTGCGTGCGGAGTTTCGCGCCGTGCAGCTGCTGACCTTCACGGTCATCTCGCGGTGCTGCTCGCCGGGCGTGCAAATGACCCTGAAGTCGTGCAGGGAGCACCTCGACGCCGGCCACCGGGCGTGGCACTTCATCGAGTCGACTTACCAAGTCACCGACGACCTGTTCATCGCCCAGCTGGAAGGGCAGCTGACGCACCTGCGTATGGGCGACCAGGAGACGGCGACGGACTACTGCAACCGAGCTCGGCGGATTCTCGCCACCATCAGGATGGCCGGTGTGGAGTACTCGACGGCGTCATACGTCACCCATGTTATGTACGGACTCCCGAGCAGCTACAACCTGCTAAAGCGGCTGTTGATGGCGCCAAGCACGCGGGCAACACTCAACGAGGACGCGTTGACTCGTACATCCTGCAGGACGAGGCGATGCAGGAGGCCAAGTGGTCCCAAGAGCTCTTGGCGCAGGTGAATCACGTCGCCCCGGCGAAGCAAGGTGGTCGACCGGGGCAGCGTGGATAGTCAGGCGGCGGTGGTAGCAGTGGCTGGAAGCTGGCCAAGGAAGTCGACAAGAAGAAGTCGACCAAGGACAGCGGTCGAGGAGGAGGAAGTCGACGTCGGGAGTGCTGGCTGTGCGGCGACCCCGACCACCTCTCCTTCGAATGCCCCCACCGCACAGCCAGCACTCCCGACGTCGACTTCCTCCTCCTCGGCCGTTATCCTTGGTCGACTTCTTCTTGTCGACCTCCTTGGCCGACTTCGAGCCACTGCTACCACCGCCGCCAGACTGTCCACGCTGCCCCGGTCGACCGCCTTGCTTCGCCGGGGCGACGTAGTTCACCTGCGCCAAGAGCTCTTGGGACCGCTCGGCCTCCTGCATCGCCTCGTCCTGCAGGATGTACGAGGTCAACGTGTCCTCGTTGAGCGTCGCCCGCGTGCTCGGCGCCATCGACAGCCGCTTCAGCAGGTTGTAGCTGCTCGGAAGTCCCTGCATGACATGGGTGATGTACGACGCCGTCGAGTACTCCGCACCGGCCATCCTGATGGTGGCGAGAATTCGCCGGGCCCGGTTGCAGTAGTCGGTCGCCGTCTCCTGGTCGCCCATACGCAGGTGTGTCAGCTGCCCCTCCAGTTGGGCGATGAACAAGTCGTCGGTGACTTGGTAGGTCGACTCAATGAAGTGCCACGCCTGGTGGCCGGCGTCGAGGTACTCCCGGCACCACTTCAAGGCGATTTGCACGCCCGGCGAGCAGCACCGTGAGATGACCGTGAAGGTCAACAGCTGCACAGCGCGGAACTCAGCTCGCAAGTCGGGGTCGCTCGGCGTCGCCACGGTACCTCGAGCGAAGCTGATCAGCCCAGCCATCTCCAGCTGGGGCTCGATGGCCTCCTTCCAGGTGAGTATGTCGGGTCGACCGACCAGCGGGGGAGTCACCGAGATCCTATCCGGCGTGAACTTAAAGTAGCCGTAGCTCGGCGCAATTCCGCCCGCCGTCACCTGGGACGCCGACATCGGCGTCAACCCGCTTCGTCGACCTCCGACGTCGCCCTGCGAGGTGCCCGCAGCCGACGTCGACCGAACCCCTCGCCCTTGAACGCCGCCGACTTCGTCGGCGTGAATCACACCACGCTGCCTCGACGTGCCTCCCGCACTGCTGCCGACTTGGTCGCCCCCGGCGTTGACGCCCACGTCGACGCCGCCCTCGGTGTTCACCGGTCGAGGAGAAGCAGGCCGAGAAGGGTGCTCCGTCGCCCACAAGGAACGGATGCCAGCCTCGACGACCGCCCACGGCAGGTCGCCATACTCGTTGGCCTCGTGCTTCCTCCTCGCGTTTTCCAGCCGTGCCTCCAGGGTGTCCACCACCCCCGTGTCACCTACGACGCCTACCATGGTGACTACCGCACAGCTGCCGGCCTACGAACAACTTAGGTAAGGTGCCACTAAGTCGACTAGACTGAAAGGTAAGTCGTTGTGCCGTCCACGCTCTCCGCACCATGCGGAGATAACTACATCAACGGGAGCTAGACCGTAGGCTAGGCACGGGTGCTCGTGTGATCTCTGCGTTCGTTGGTCCTTAGTCATTTTCCTAGTGCACATACTGCTTGCTAGTTCACAAGGTAATTTGGCAAGAGTTTCACTAGAGAAAGTTGACAACAATGATACAATAATGTTGGCAAGACAAGACTACATCAGAGCTAGGATGCAAGCAGGTCGACTGCCAGCGCAGCACGGTCGACCGCGTGCCAGCACGACTTGGTCGACCGCGCTCCAGCAGTGCAGAGACGCGGCTTGCCAACGCTGCAGGTCGACGGCGTGACAACAGCGCAAGTCGACGGCGTGCCAGCGTTGCTCCTGCAGTCCAGCATCGCACCCGCTTCGCAGGTGCTCGTAGATGATTGGCGTGCACTGCTTCGTCACCTGCACAACGCACACACCAAGTCCACCTCGCGCTGACGACTGCATCTGATGCACCACGTCGACCTCGGGATACCATCACCGAGGTCGTCCTTGCCAAAACCACCTGGGCGACCTTCGCAAGCCTTCGCAGCACCTCGTCACCCAGGTAACTTGGTCGACCGGGCAACCAGGTCGACCAGAGGCTCCAGTGCGTGCCCGTCGACCACCCAGGTCGACGACCACTTCCGGTCGACCTCCCAGGTCGACCACTGCCTCTGGTACGTGCCGGTCGACCTCCCAAGTCGACGGCCACCTCCAGTCGACCTCCCCAGGTCGACCACTATCCCCTGGTCGACCAGCTCCAAGTCGACGTCACTCCTGGTCGACCAGAAGGCCTGGTCGACGTCCCTGGTCGACCAGAAGGGCTGGTCGACTTCCCAGGTCGACCAGCCGAAGTTGGCGCCCTCCTGAAGTCGGCGCCCATGCAGTGGCTCCCCGTGCAGGTCGACCAACCTCGTCGACCAACTCGCCCACTGCTGCAGGTCGGCTGCACCCTACACCCAACCACGAAGTCGGCTCCGCCCAAGCGAGGACGGGGCCAACATACAACTCCCGTTGACAAGTACCATCCATATGGGTAAGAAACGCACTTACTCTTAGTGCCATCCACATTGGGAAAGTAACGCACTTACTCTTAGTACCATCCACATGGATAAGTAACGCACTTATAGTACCATTTACATGGGTAAGAAATGCACTGACTCTTAGCGCCATCCGTATAGGAGAATAATGCACTTACTCTTGGCACCATACGCATGGGTAGATAACACAGTTCCTTATAGTACCATCCACACGGTTAAGCAAAGCACATACTTTTGGCACCATGCACATGGGTAAGTAACGCACTTACTATTAGTACCATCCACATATGTAAGTAACGTACTTAGTCTGAGTACCATCCAAATAGTAAAGTAACACACAAATTGTTAGCACCATCCAGATGGGAAAGTACCGCACTTACTTTTAGTACTATCTATACATGTATCTAACACACTTATTATTAGTATCATCCACTTGGGTAAGTAACGCACTTATAGTACCATCCACATGGGTAAAAAACGCACTTACTCTTAGCGCCATCCATATAGGTAAGTAATGCACCATCCTCATAGGTAAATAGCACACTTATATTTTAGTACCATCTTTCCCTTGGTAAGAAACACACTTACTCTGAGTGCTATCCATATGAATAAGAAGCGTAACATATGGCAAAAAACACACTTACTTTAAGTATCATACACATGGTTAAGTAATACACTTACTCTTAGTACCATCGACATGGGTAAAAAACGCATTTACTCTTAGTACCATCCACATGGGTAAGTAACACATTTAAAAATTGTACCATCCACACGGTTAAGTAATGCACATACTCTTAGCACCCTGCACATGTGTAAGTAACGGATATACTCTTAGTTCCATCCACATGGATAAGAAACGCACTTACTCTTAGTGCCATCCACATGGGTAAGTAACGCACTTACTCTTAGTATCATCCGCATGGAAAAGTAACGCACTTATAGTACCATCCACATGGGTAAGAAATGCACTTACTTTTAGCGCCATCCATGTAGGTAAGTAATGCACTTACTCTTAGCACCATTCATATGGGTAAATAACGCACTTCCTTATAGTACCATCCACACAGTTAAGCAATGCACATACTCTTAGCACCATGCACATGGGTAAGTAACGCACTTACTATTAGTACCATCCACATAGGTAAGTAACATACTTACTTTTAGTACCATCCAAATGGTTGCGTACACACAAATTGTTAGCACCATCCACATGGGTAACGCAGTTATAGTACCATCAACATGGGTAAAAAACGCACTTACTCTTAACGCCATCCATTTAGGTATTTTATGCACTTACACTTAGCAACATCTACATGGGTAAATAACACACATACTCTTAACACCGTGCACATGGGTAGGTAACGCATATATATTTAGTACCATCTTGCCCTTGGTAAGAAACGCACTTACTCTTAGCTACATCCACATGGGTAAGAAACGTACTCACTTTTAGCACCATCCATATGGCAAATAACGCACTTACGTTTAGTACTATACACATGGTAGAGTAACACACTTACTCTTAATACCATCCACATGGGTAAAAAACGCACTTTGTCTTAGCACCACATGGATAAGTAACACACTTAATTATAGTACCCATGGATGGCCACATGGGTAAGAAACGCACTTACTCTTAGTACCATCCACATAGGTAAGTAACGCACTTACTCTTAGTACCATCCACATGGGTAAGAAACGCACTTACTCTTAGTGCCATCCACATGGGTAAGTAACGCTCTTATAGTACCATCTACATGGGCAAGAAATACACTTACTCTTAGCGTCATCCATATAGTAAGTAATGCGCTTACACTTAAATAACACACTTACTTATAGTAGCATCCACATGGTTAAGTGATGCACATACTCTTAGCACCATGCACATAAGTGAGTAATGGATTTACTCTTAGTACTATCCACATGGGTAAGTAACGCACTTACTCTTTGTACCATCCACATATGGGTGAGAAACGCATTTACTCTTAGTGCCATCCACATGGGTAAGTAACGCACTTACTCTTAGTACCATCCATATGGATAAATAACGCACATATAGTACCATCGAAATGGGTAAAAAATGCACTTAATCTTAGCGCCATCCTAATTGGTAAGTCATGCACTTTTTCTTAGCAACATCCACATGGTAAATAACGCACTTTCTTGTAGTACCATCCACACGGTTAAGGAATGCACATTATTTTAGCACTAAACACATGAGTAAGTATCGCACTTACTATTAATACCATCCACATAGGTAAGTAACATACTTACACTTAGTACTATCCAAATAGTTTAGTACCATACTTACTCTTAGCACCGTGCACATGGGTAAGTAACGCAATTATATTTTAGTACCACCTTTTCCTTGGTAAGAAACGCACTTACTCTTAGTGCCATCCACATGGATAAGAAATGTACCATATGGCAAATAACGCAGTTGCTTTTAATACTATACACATGGTTAAGTAACACACTTACTCTTAGTACCATCGACATGGGTAAAAACGCACTTACTCTTAGCACCATCCACATGGGTAAGTAAACACTTAATTATAGTACCATCCACATGGTTAAGGAATGCACATACTCTTAGCACCATGCACATGTGTAAGTAACGGATTTACTCTTAGTACCATACACATGGGTAAGAAATGCACTTAATCCTAGTACCATTCACATGGGTAAGAAACACACTTATTCTTAGTGCCATCCACATGGGTTAGTAACGCACTTACTCTTAGTACCATCCGCATGGATAAGTAACGCAATTATAGTACCATCCACATGGGCAAAAATCACACTTTCTCTTGGCGCCATCCATATAGGTAAGTAATGCACTATCCATTTAGGTAAATAACAAGCTTACTTATAGCACCATGCACATGGGTAAGTAACACACATAATCTTAGCACCGTGCACGTGGGTAAGAAACGCACTTACTTCTAGTGCCATCCACATGGATAAGAAACGTACCATATGGCAAATAACGCATTTACTTTTAGTACAATTCGCATGGTTAAGTAACACGCTTACTCTTAGTACCATCCACATGGGTAAAAAACGCACTTATTCTTAGCACCATCCACATGAGTAAGTAACACACTTAATTATAGTACCAACCATATGGTTAAGTAATGCACATTTTCTTAGCACCATGCACATGTGTAAGTAATGTATTTATACTTAGTACCATCCACATGGGTAAGAAACGCACTTAATCCTAGTACCATCCACATGAGTAAGAAACACACTTACTCTTAGTGCCATCCACATGGGTTAGTAACGCAGTTATAGTACCGTCCACATGGGTAAGAAATACACTTAATCTAGCGCCATTCATATAGGTAAGTAATGCGCTTACTCTTAGCACCATCCGCATGTTTAAATAGCACACTTATAGTACCATCCACACGGTTAAGTAATGCACATACTCTCAGCACCATGCACATGAGTAATGGGTTTACGCTTAGTACCATTCACATGGGTAAGAAAGGCACTTACTCTTAGTATCATCCAGATGGGTTAGAAAGGCACGTACTCCTAGTGCCGTCACATGGGTAGGTAACGCACTTACTCTTAGTACCATTCACATGAATTTGTAACGCACTTATAGTACCATCCACATGGGTAAGAAATGCATTTACTTTTAGCGCCATCCATATAGGTAAGTTATGCACTTACTCTTAGTACCATCCACATGGGTAAAAAACGCACTTACTCTTAGCGCCATCAACATAGGTAAGTAACGCACTTACTTATAGCACCATTCACATGGGTAAGTAACACACATACTCTTAGCATCGTGCACATGTGTAAGTAACGCACTTATATTTTATTCCCATCTTTCCG